ATTCACTTCCTAAAATAATGCGATATTTTATATGATGAAGTTGAAAATAAAGGAATTATAATTTTTATCACTTAATTATTTATTGATTTAGTTATTTATTGGATAATACTATCAGTATTGTTATTTGATTAGCAATTTGTCAATAATATATTAAGAGGCATGAAAGAGAGCTCACAAAAAAGGCTGATTCATCTGATAAACAATTTATCTGATATGTTACATCACTGATTTCTCATGAAAGTGAAAAATCATTTACACAGAATGAAATAAATTCCCAATAGTACATATTTTTCATTTAATTTATCTATTTGAAGGATTTGCTGATAATTTATGATTATTTTATTTGTGTGATAATTTATTGATTTATCATTTGCCTTATTGTTTTCATATTTTTCAAATAAATTTCTTATCATAAAAAGGAAAAATAATTTCTTCACATTTTTTCTCTTTCGCCCAATTAAAGCACAAAAAATATTTGAATGGTATTCTTAACTTATCTAATTATCATTTCATTAGTAATTTAATGGATTATTTCATCTTATTTCCATAATTCTCTCATTTCTTCCTATCTATTATTTGTTTAATTCACTAAATTATTTAATTCTTATTCTAATTTCTTCATCTCTTTTTTTCTTATTCTCACAAATTCCATTCTTATTTAAGCATCGTTTTGAGTAAAATAAACAAAAATTCTTTACGACAATACTTTCATGATAAGCGTAACAGTCATTCATAAAAATTAATAATCATTTAAATTAGTCATTTATAATAATGATTCGTGATAATCAATTTTTTGATGATAATAATGATTATTTTCAATAGTGATTTGTGATACCATTCATAATAACTATTTACAATAATCATTTATAATAATGATTTGTGACAATTTATAATGAACAGTTGTTGGTATCACCTGTATCATTATGATCATTGTGAAAGTGAGGCGAAATCAGTTGCACCCTTACCTTTTCATCATTCTTCCATTTAATATATCATCAAAGAAGAAAGAAGAAATATAGTGATAAGAAGATAAGAAACATAGATGATACCATAAATATCGAATGAGAAAGTTCTTTGGCTTCTTTTTTCACCAACTATTAGGCGTTTATATCTTTCCGCTTGGTGGAATTCAACAGCTTAGTTTCAATTTTGATTGCTTTTAGTGCTTAAATCGCTTTACAATTTAACAATCGATATTTTTAGTTTGAAAGAATGGGAAAAAAGTTTTCGAATTTCCTTTGTATTATAAAATATAGACATAGTGATCAAGGGAGGGTCAATGTTATCGTACCAAAAGGTCAAAGTTCAACTCCTTTCTTGCACCAGTCTTACATCAGAAGGAGTAACCTTGAATCAATGATGTCTCTATTCATTTACACCCATCATAGGTAATCTACAGGTAAACTTAGGTATTAGGATGGGAAGAGGACCACTTCATATTTTTGTCATTTCCTCAACTGTTATAATTATTGGAATAGGAATCGGTTAATCTGATTAATAAATATATAATTAGAGGGTGATATTAATAATGTTGATTTCAGGTATTACGATTAATATGTAAAAACATTTTTTAGAGATAATAATGACATTCTTGAAATTGTTTTTGATATTTGCTTACTTTTACATCTATTACTTATCAGCCATTTAAAAATTAAGCATTTTAAACTTCGAACCATTACCAAAGTAAACAGCAACAACAACAGCAATAATAACAAAAGCATCAAATCTAATCAGTCAAAATATGCTACATATTGGCGATATCAGAGGTGGTAATTCTGCCTGATTGTAATTGTGGTTTGTGAGTTAGATTGGACTAGATTAGAGTAGACACTTCATCATCCTCCTCTTCCTCTCTTATCTTCTTATATCATTTCATTTCTAACAGATCTCAATTCTTTTACTTCATTTACATTCTATTTCATTTTATTTCATTTCATTTGATCATTCATTTATTTATTTGTTTGTTTATTTATTTGTTTGTTGAAAGCAATGACACTTCTAATTTTTCTTGTTCTTCTTTCGTTCATTGCTCTTTTAGTGCCTGAAAGCGAATGCTTTTTGATTGTTATATTTGCAAATATTATCTGGCAGCTGTTGCTAATTGAACAATCATTCATTATTCGGATGGTACAAATGGATTGATCTGATCAATGTATGTATCACATTTGATCATTAACATTCGTTGTTGCTATCTCAGAAATGGGATAGATATTTGAAATAGTTAATTGAAAATTTAATCATTACCATAATTCAGCTACTGATATTACATTATAAACTTTAATTGGTAGAATTTAACTTTGAAATTTAAACTTTTTTCTTTTTTGTTCATTTAGAACATACCTACCAATGAAAATTTTTTAGTAAAATATCTTAGTCATTTTCAGCATGGAATGTTTGCATTAAAGTTTCAATTCTAAAGTGATAAATTAGCGTTTGATATTTGGAATTTCAGTAAATTTTACCTTTTCCCAATTAAAATATATATGAGAACAATCTGCTAAATTTATAATATAAAAAATCTTTTCTTTCCATTTTTTGCTTATTGCAATTTATTTAGCATTTTTTTTGGACAAATTATAAAATTAAATTTTTTTCATTTTTGCTTTGCAAATTTTTCGCAATGAAAATTACTGCAATTTAAAGTTATCAGAAAATTTTCATCTTTTTTTTGATCGAAAGAAATAAATGACAGCTTAGGCAAACAGACAGCTTTTCATTTATGGAAACAAACAGAAATGAAAGAGAATTTTAGGAAGCAATTCAATTTTCTCTCAAACACATAAAATATCTTTAAGTCTATTTGATATAAATGAGAATTTTAGTTCTGAGAAATATGCATCGAAAAGAAAATGAAATAAAATCAAACTTTTTTCTTTTCTCTCTCTCTCTCTCTCTCTTACTCTTTTGTGCTCAGAGGAATCGATAGAATTCAGAAACAGGCCTAAATTCATACTGTACATCACGCGGCCTATTAATATAAATCATTAATGGGATCATAAATTTATTCCAAAAATAGTTTACATAAAAATGAAAAATCAATTCAAGCGAATAAATTCAAATGGATGGCAAGGGAAAAACGATTGTGACATTTCTCCGGATTTCCTCGTTCGGCTAGTTTGAGTATTTTAGCGAAAATGATATTTTTTAACACTAATTAGTATTAATTTTCAACAGGAACTATTTGATCCTACTTATCTCACCGTCGCTATTATGGCAATTTCAATAAGTATTTTTATTTTTAAAAATGATATACTTTTCCTTATACTACTACTATTGTTAGTACAAATGAAAATGAATTATTTACAAATTTAATTATTATTCCATCTTTCTCTTTTCTTGCTGTCACTAAACCGACGAATGATAAGGATTTTAGTGATAAAATTAATTGTCAAACAAATTTGACAAAAAAAAACAAAGTAAAAAAATATTTTTTTAATTCGAAAAATACGAAAAATAGATGGAGAAAAATTTATTGCTATCTAATATTTCATTTCCCATCGGGATTTTTCCCGAGATGTATCGTTATCATCATTTTGCTCAAACAAAAAGAAATAAAATGAATGAATTGGATATCTTCCCCGGAGGATATCATATAATTGGGCAATGGTACATTGATATATTTCATTTTTCTCTTTTCGTTCTCTTCTCTTCTGATCAGATATTTTAATAATTGCATATTTTGATGTTATGACGAATTTCAATCGAAACACTCACTTATCTTTTATTGATAGATAATTTATGATGGTAACGGAAAAAAAATTGAGAGAGAAAGAAAGGAAAATTGTACCTTATCATCGGAAAGTTTCTCTGCTAAGATTTGTTTATATTATAGCAAGTTTTTCCGGAATGCTTGTTATTGGCATAGAAGAATGAATAGGAAGAGAACTTATGCCATATACGAAATTTTCCAGAAAAAGATTTATCATTAACATTTAATAGTATTTTTATGTATATATAAATAATATTTTATTTTTATTGGCATAGAGGAATGGATAGAATGAGAAATTATTCCTTACCTGGAAAGTTTATTATTGTTTATTGACATTTAAAAATATTGTTTATTGTTTATTGACATTTAAGCAAATTATTGTTTATTGACATTTAAGCAGTTAGATGCATGCAATAGCCAGATAGCTAATTAATAGGTACTTATAGATTTCCGGTAATATAATTGTATAATTGCTTATTGTTTTTTTTTCTCATTTATTCTTCAATAAAATTAAAAGAAAAAAGAAAAATTGTGAATTGGTTGTAGTATATGATAGTGGTGTACGTTGATGGTATACATCTGGTTTTTTGGAATCATGCAAACAGATGGGGAAAGGGTAATTTAGAAGAGGGTTTTATGGCACCTCATTTTCCGCCTCCTTATCTCCTCTGTCTACCTGTATTTACCTATTTTATTTAACCTTATTACTAATATTTCTTTTTGTAAATTATTTATTCATGAATTATATTTCATATTTGCTCTTTTGTTTTTTTCATGCAGAAAAATTAAACAAAATTTAAGTGTGATTTCTGAACATAATGCTATTAACTAATTAATTAATCGTTAGAAGACAAGAAGAGTGAGAGAAAGAAAGAGGAGAGAGAGAAAAAAAGCAATTTCATGATCGATTTTCGAATGTTTGTCGCAGAAGTATGAAAGAGTTTACGAGAAAAACGTGAATGAAATGGCAAAAATTTTACGTAGAAATAAAAGTTGAAAAAATTTAATAGTAATAAGATGTTCAATCCGTCAATTCAATAATAAAATGAGATGAATGAAAGTTAATTCCTGTATATTGTTGAAAATGTAATTCTGCATTCACCTAACTTCATCCTTTCCATAATACTCATAAAACTTATAATTATTTAATATTATTGTTAATTATAACATAACTTTTGCAATAGCTCTGATAATAATCAAAAGGTGATAGATATTAAATAATTATTGAATTTATCAGTGTTATAATGTATTATAAGAAAAATATTTTTAATTCCAGTATACTTTAACGAAAATGACCGGCGCAGTGATTGAAAATCTAAGTAATCGTAAATTGTGCTATATTTTGTTATCATTATTTGCTGCACTTATCATATTTTTTGTATTGGGTGCTCTATGCTGTAAGTTTGTTTTTCTTTTTGCTAAAGTATATTACAAAATGTAAAAATTTTCAAATTTCAACTTATTTAAAAACTTTGTAGTTCTATTAATTATCTTATTAGTTCTCCATTACGGTAATACATAAGTAATTCTATTCTTAGCAATTTTTCAGGATATTATATCAATTCTTATAGAAATAATCGTTCTGAAAATGTTATATGTTATAGTAATTTAGGAAAAAATCATAATCAAATGATAATCATCAGAATTATTATATCTTAATTTACAAAAATTTCCAGCTCCACAACCATCTAGTTCAATGGAATTCATTATGGTAAAATGTAAGGATATTGAAGGTGGAAGGAATGCCAACAGATGGTTTCATCTAAGACCATCGGTTAGTTAGACATAAATTTCATCATTTGTTTCATTTGTTTGCTTATTAGTAAAAAATTCCGGATGAAATTTGAAATTTAAATTTGACAAATCTTATATATCTATAGAAACACATCGAATTTGAGAAAATTCCTCTGTTTCATATCTTATCACCGAAAAAAAAGGACTTTATGTTAATCGGAAATGATCGAAAAAAAGAAAAATTCATATCAGTGATATTATTTTTCTATTCTTTGTTTCAAATTCAGAATTGTGATCCAATTCATGACTTGGATTATTATGTGCCACAATATCATGATATGCGTGATATTGTATTTGTGGCACAAATGCCACATCAACGTGATGGCATTAGCTTGGAATATTCGGCATGGTTTCAATTCTTGCTTGGCTTACTTGAAGTAGACATTGAATATGATCCAAAATTTACACTTGGTAACAATTTGCTACCATTTTTTTTAATTTTAAAAATTACAGGATAAAATAAGATTTATTCTCAGTTTTATATATAATTATTTTCCTAATTAATCTAATTTTCTTTTAGTTACTTTTCTTTCTCTATACATCATCTGATTTGCCATTTATCTGCCACGCTTAAATTCACTATTCCCGCCAGTAATAAAGAATTGATTAATTTTGACTGATAATTAATTAATCTTAATGAAGTGATTAATTTAGCGTTAACTTCTTTCCTGAATGTCTTATCCTCGTCACCTGCACTATAATAACAAATGAAGTACTCGATTTAAAAGACAATACAAAAGTAATCAATTTTCAGCAATACAACTTTCTATTCCCATACTCTTTTGGGAAGTTAATGTTTTTATTTTCTGTTTTGCATTTATCATTCCGTTATCATCAGATCAATCTATTATCATTTATAATTCATCATATCAAGCATTCATATATAATTTAAACGGGTTAAATCTAATTTGACCAATTATCTATATAATTTCATAGTAAACTTGTTTTTTAGCTACAAGTGCAATATTGCAACTTGAAGTAAGACTTGGCTATAAAACGCACACTGATCCACCAGATCAATGGCATGAGGTTATCGCCACAAATACAACCAGAATGCTCGAATGCAACATACCCGATACCGTAAATTTTGATTGCTTAATTCACTAACATTTTCAGTGTCGGTACTTCTTAGCATATGTAGAAATTTGAAGAAATTATTGTAGAACCTCGCCATACGGTAGAAGCTACTGTAGGCTTTTCATTCATAATAACTAATTACCTCATATAAGAGTCGTACACTTTTGATGCTAATTATTCAAGTTTAAATATATTATCAAATCTCAAGATTAACATAGTTTTACTGATTAATTTAACAATTTATTTGTTCACCAATTTATTTGCTTACTGTGGTACTATTTATTTACTAGTTATCTGGTTGATTCGTCATTTAATTGATTAAATTTCAGAAACTTGAAGGTCATCTTTACAATTGCGCATCTATGGATTTATTTGAACTTGGCTCCAATCCATATCCATTCTATCTGATCAATATCCGTTTACCGGTTAATCAAACTCTTTGCCAAACAAAGCCAAAAGCACCGAATTGTGCTATTGGAAGAATCAATGATTTGAGGGTGATCGTAAGTAAAATTTAATGTTTCAATCTTTTTATTATTGAAATATTCCAAGAATTTGTACATCGATTTTTGATCTTTAATTATTTCAATAATTTGTTTATTTATTCTCATTTATTACCTATTCATTTGTTTATTACATAATAACAAAGAGGAATGTTGTCATTTAAAGGCTATTCATCAAAATGGCGGATTCACAGCTATTTGGCTATTTATGAAAACGATGGTTTCTCCATTGGTCATTATTACTGTCATTTGGTATTGGAAGCGTATTGTGGCGCTAAATCGAAATTCTTATTTGCTAGAAAAAGCTATTATGGCTTTAGGGATTAGCTTGACAATTCTTGATTGTATGCCTTCAGAAATATTATAGATTTGTTAACTTTCAAGAATAGAAATTCATATAAAAATATATTATGAATATATGTTAGGGAAGGCTAAAAAGATCAAAATATCATATAACTCAACAGGATTATTTATTATCAATATCATCCTTAACCTACTTGAAACTATTGAGATCCCTCCATAACATAGATGCAAATGTCTTTTCTGGCACTGATATGGAAATTTTCGAGATACGTATCCTGAGAATATTAAGCTTACTATAACAACACTATTTTTTAATCTAAATTCAAAATTTAGAATTGTGAAATTTTCAGTTCCACTGGAATGGATATCATTATGGTTTCGAGCACCATTTATGCTCCTTATTGGTGACATTAGGCAAGGCCTATTTTATGCCATATTATTTAGCTTTTGGCTTATCTTTACTGGTGAACATCTAATTGATGACACATCTAGAAATAATTTGGTGGGTTCAATTTTTTGAAGTTACCAGGTGTCTAAAAATAATTTGGTTCAATTTTTTTTGAAATTTTGTTTTGCAAAGAAATGAATATCATTTGATGATTGTGATAATTATGACTTCATTATATTATAATATATTTTAAATCTATAATTTTACAATCTTCTCACCATATAAATAAGATCAAACGTTAAAATTTCATTTGTTTATAAGTATTATTGCTGTTCTTGTCTAATTAAGTCAAGCAGTGAAATCAAGAGAAATTCATTTTTCACTAATCTTTTTTATTATAAAAAACTTCTTTAAAATCTTTTTTTGAATTAACTAAAGCGACAAAGGTTAGAGTGAGCATGAAATGGCGATAATTGAGGGATAAAAAATTTCGAATTTTAAATATAAATTTGAATTGTAAATATTAGAGGTCATATTGGCAAAATTTGACATCTGTCTTGATTGGCTCAACATGTCTGCTGATTTACGATATAGCCGAACGTGGTATGCAGCTGTTGAATCCATTTTTTAGCATATGGTCATCTAAGTTGGGTTCACGTTTAGCGGTAAGCTTTTCTAAAGTGATTCTTTTTACAAATACATCAATTATTAAACGAAGCTTACTTTATTATTCAACTTTTGGGGTTATTTATTTTGGAGTATATTCATGTATTCCAGTACGCGTCAATTTACATAGCATCCCTTTGCGTACTGTTCTACTTTGGTTTCCTTGCTTATAAAGTATATCGTGTATGGATAACAATTAAAAGGAAACGAGCCGCTCAACTTTATCGCAGCAGTGAAATTCGAAGATTGAAAGTAAGTTATCGCTTAAAATGGTAATGTATAGCATTTGTCACTTGTAAAATATCCGTAAATTAGACCTTTGAAATATTTACTTCCTTTTTAATTTTATTTTCCAAATCCGAAAAGTTGACAAATTCAATCTTACCAATAGTTCGAGGTTAATCAAGTGCTATAGAAATCTGGCCATTAGAAAAGGTTAAATTACTTCTGATAAGTTTATTCTCATTATAAATGTGTAGAACCAATACAAGTCTGAATTGGAAATAAGTTTGGCTAAAAAATTAGGAGTTCTCGGTTATTCAAGTGAAGATAAATCAACATTTGTGAATTGAAAAGTTCAACTTCACGACCTAAAACTTTGAAAAACTTCAATTGAATCCAATTTCCTAGTCAGAATTGTTGTGGAGAATTCCTCAAAATCCATTACTTTTCGATAAAACTTTGGTAGAAAATGTCTGCTACTGACACAGCAGATATCAGCAATAATGAAGAGGTCATTAGGCATGCGCAATATTCATGAAATTTTTGTGCCTTAAAGTCAAAGCTTGTTTCGGCTAGCTAGGTCACAAAACGTATTAATGCTAATTTAAAATTAAGCAGCATCACAACTTCATTCCATGTTCTGCAGATAATATTTAAAAATTTCTATAGGAGTCGATGGCAAGATAAGACTACTGTAGTGATACTGTATCGCTAATTCGCACAAATATTTTAGTGGTTATGGTAGGATAGCTGTAAAAACTGAAGTAAATAAAGGTGTATAGAATGTAAATGATAGAATAAGCCTACCAGATATGAAGAAGAAACTTAATGATTCTGGCTAAGGCTATAACTAATATATTGAAGAATCTTTACCACTGGTCTCACTCCCCTTTATGAAATGAAATCTCGAATTATTGGTAAGTAATATTGGGCTAGTTGATTTACATTATTAAATTTCACTAATTCAGGTTGAAGCAATCATTTATCGTTTTAAATTTCTGATGTTCTTCACGTTAGTATGCGCTGCTTCAACGATTATTACTTACATTATGAAACAGGTAACACTTATAATACTGTAATGCTGCAATATGTACCTCACTACTGTAAGGAGGCGTAAACAGATTACCTTATCGACAAGAATATTACAAAATTCTTTCTTCCCATCATTTCCTTTCTCTTTCTGAAGACAAAATCAATAGCGGTATAGGTTATTTTGGAAAGAAAGATCGGCAAATGATCACATTTGTGAGTGGAAAATTAATTTTCCAATTCTCATAATTGAGAAAATAAATTATTAACTCTTCCTTAATGAAAGACATCAAAAATTCTTTTCATATTACGTATAAATTTAGCACATAAACTTGTGGATAACAGGATTACTGTACAATAAATACGATTTCATTTATAGATTATTAAATATCTAAAGATTTCTTCCTTTTTTTTTAAATCATATTTTCAGTATGGAGAAGGACAAGTACACAGTGATAATCCATCTAAAAGTTTGTTAATTCATTCATCAAGCGCCTTTTTTACGGGTACTTTTGGTATGTGGAATATTTATGTACTCTTACTATTGGCCATGTATGCACCATCTCATAAACAATACGGCATTACTGTCGGTGTGTTATTATCAGCTACCAATTATTATTATCGATTATTATTGTTGTCATTACTACTGTTTTCATTAAGTTCTTACAAAATTTGATCCATATAAGATCATAATAATTTTCAAAATTAGCATCATAAACTTTTCCCTTTCACCAGCCGTCCTATCCTAGCGAATATTTCACAGAATGAAATAACCGAATCATCCTTGTTGAGTAATAAGCGTTAGTAAAGAACTGATAGCATTTTTCTTGGAAACAAATTGGACATGATATGAGAGGACAAACTTGATTAAAATTTAAGTATGTCAGATAATTGTCGATTTTTACAGCGTTGCGTGAGGAAACAGATATGCTGGTAGATGAACCAACAGAATCATCAGCTCTAACAACATTCATGAAAGCTGCTACAACTGAATGAGTGATATCTACTTCAAGTGCATCTCTGGCAAATTTTAAAATAAAATTCCTTAATTTGTATTAAAATCTTTATTGTAATGACTTGCCAAAATCTTCCACACTCCGTTTAATACTTAATTAGAGCAGATTAAAATGGACGAGGATGATAATTATCTAACTATCTAACTACTTATCTATGGTGATAAAAGATTAATTGTATCAAGTGTAGAAAAAGTACTTGAGAGATACTTCTAACACTTGTTCGTCGTTACCAAGTTAGCATCATAAACTGTATCTCTTTTCTGTTACATCCTATTATCATGCATTAGTAAAAAGTATTTTTTCTTACTGAATTACAAGGGCATAATATACTGCGCTATTTCTTATCACTAATACTATGCTTCATGACCTCGAAACTATTTCTTTCCTAAAAGCACATATTTCTCAAGATATAATAGCTTGTCTTTATGATCTTCTCAACCATTATTCATAATATGAGGAAGTTCACAACAAGTTTTCCTATTTACTTGTTGAACTTCTAACATTGATCATCTTAGGATAGTATGTAAGCAAATTCTAAAACCAAAAGATCTTAATCATCGTTAGCTCTTCTGATCTCATTATTCATTTCTAATAGCTCTTAACTCTAATTTTTAACAGCTGAAAATTTCTTGTAGTACATCTGCCTTCAAAATTTTTCCACCACTTCTCTATACTTTTTACAATTTTTTGTTTTCTTCAGTTCAATAATAATGTTCTTTTAAGTAATTGCATCTCAGTATTATATTTCAAAATATTTATTATGATTTTGTTTGCGTCTATCACTCACAGACTAAAATAGACTAAAATGTAATGTTTTATTAATAATAATTGTCATTTGCTTCAACCGTACATTTAAATGCATCGTTTCACAACTCGCCAAATATTTCGGACAGAAATCAGTTCCGGGACTCTGTGCTGAAGTTTCACTTCCCAAAAAATAGATGCAAAGCATTGATCAAAAAGAAAACAGACGATAAGAAGTCAAAATGAGGAGATCATTACGATCATACTGTCCGCACGCTTGCCAGAAATTCCAGTATGAAGTTGCGATGTTTTACCGCTCAGGCCTTATTTCACGAAGATGTAAGAGCTAGTAAGACAAACCTTTTCAATCATTCTCTATTTATTTTATTACTATTATGATCACTATCTCCGTTATCACATCATCGCTGTGATTAACTATTAGTATTGAAAATACATTTAATGAAAAATTGTTACCTATTTACAGTGCATCACTAAATAACCATTTGGTAATAAGTAAAGTACATAACCATAAATAATAAAACTCTGATCTCTAATACATCACTTCCATAATTTGCCGACTACGACAGCATGAAAAATCCCTCACCGGTAAAAGAAAATATACATGAATTAGAACGACATAAATTTCGCTGGAAATGTAGCGAATAGGTATCACCCGTTTTAAATTTATTACTTCCAATCCAAAATTGTATCGCATCTGGAAATATGCTAGTAAAAATAAGGCTAGTAAAAATGAGGATGCAAAAGGAAAAACTGAAGCTATCTTATTCTAAAATTGAAATAGAGAATCCTGTATTCGATGGTTTGTAATTGAAAAATCAATCTGACTTGAGCTCAACCTCACACATAAATTTATAAGTGATTCTGCAAAAAACTTACTGTTCAACATCAAAGAACTGTGACCATTTACTACTGTCGGCACAAAGCGTCGATAGAGCATTGCGAATACTTCGGCGCTTTGAAGTTATGTTGAAATCCGGGTAATGCAATGTGAAATCAAAATCACCGTACAATGTAAGGTCCTAAAAAACGAAGTAGTTCTTTCCGAATCACGAACACGTCAAAAATCATTTCGTGGAATATTTATGCTGAGAAAATGCGAAATAAGTTAAGATCAAAAGAAAAAATTGGCCAGAAGCACTGACATGAGCTATTTTATCTCAGAAGATTAACAATGCTTTCGACTCAAATAACAAATAACGAGTGGCTCAGATTGCTTACAATGACGATTAAATTCCCTGAGAAAGCAGCAAAAATATACTTTGATCGGAGGTTTGAGGAGGAAACGCTGGGCATATTCTAGCATGTACAAACCGCAATCAACATCATTTTCTTGCTGGGGCAAATTCTTCGGTATCACCGTTTTAATTTGCTTTGTCAGCAGATTTTCTTTCCGTGAACTCAATTCGGAAGCCCGCTAAAGTGAATGATTTACGTTAAAGTAATTAAGCACTTTGACATAGATATAATTAACAGAAAAATTAGGATTGACGATAAATTAGCGTATCAGGAACATTCTATATACGAAAGATTGCTTACAGTAATTACCATGTAATGGCGCAACACTGTGAAAATATGAAAATAAGTTACCAAATATAACTACTTAATATCAAGCTGGTAATTAAATCCTTAACAAGTTCAACTGATTCGAATATCACAACCTTCTCCCACCACAAGAAACTAATACATCTACAGGAAGACGTTCAAGTATTAGGAGCGGGAAGTTTTATAACTAGTTTTATTAAAAAATTTGTTTGAAAAGCAGAAAAACATTAAAATGCCTTCACCAAAAGGAAAGTTTTGAGAGTATTTACAATATCTTCTGTACAGGGCAGTTCAACGGATTGTTGTGAATCAAAAATTATTATCAAAGGTTCGGAAATAGATAACTGCACTGTTAAAGATGACATTGAGATTATTGTTAAGGACCTGAAATTGTTGAATTTCAGTGGCATGAAAAACCAGTTTGCCTATATGAAAAGTGATAGAATGAATAAAGAGATAAAATTCTCATTTATCGCCAAATTTACAGTCCTGATCAGCATCCATATTACGAAAGTTTTTGAAGATATGCCACAAAACCATAGCATGGTTTGTATATTATTCTGGCATACAAAGCCATTAAAGAAATATTATACTTTCTGCTACAGCAGAAATGTCATTATTTTTACTTGGCAAAACAAGACAATCGTACAAGATGAGCAAGATAATCGTGATGTTAAACTGCCCGTTTTCAAATCAGAAAAAGGGATGAAGTTAGAAATTTAATTTTCAATATTTAATAAATCTTGAGTCTAACCAATGATTGTATTCGTTAACAGGGATCACCAGAAAATCTGCATCAAATATATCTTCATCTTCAAGCCAATATTGAATGCGATTTGGATTCGAGACCTAAAAAGAAGATGGAACTTAACTAACCATTTATCATATATCTGATTGGATGATTTCCAACAAAGTGTTTAAAGACTGAATCGAATTCACTACATTGATATCGAGAAAGATTTAGAAATATATTTTCAACGACAAAATATAGTTCAAGTGCCTTTAGAACGCCTGGAAATACGGGTAAAAACAAAAGCACCTCTAAAATTGAACCCACACTTTTTTAAAAGGAAAAACAAATTATCTAAATTATCCGATTAGAATTTAATGCTTCCGAAATACGCGATACAACTAAATTATATCATGCCATTCTTTTTTACCAACTTTGATAACTTATTTTGAATTATTGCTTTTTCAAAATAAGTTACCAAAAGTGGTAAAAATCGAGCGTAGAAATTAGTGAGGAGCAAAGGAAATATAGTGCAAAAATACACTACATCCTCATAAATAAGTGATAACTTCGCAAACACTTACTCTATCAGTATTACCAATCCCGGTCATTGCAAACCCTTCAATACCGTCAAGGTTTAAATTCCTCAACCAAGACTTCAAATTGCCCCAAAACAATGACGGAAATATGTGCATTCGCAAATTTCTATAAAATCATACTAAAAGTAAACAGAACTAATTAAATTATTCAACATTGCAATTCTTACATTTGAATGTTAGAGAATATGGCAACTTCTCCAAAAGAGCTCATGATGATAACCATTAATCTCACCGTGAAATCACCTCAGATTACCTAAGATATCGCTACACAAAGATAATTTTACTACCAAAATCATGCATATTTTTATATGCATCTGTGGTTCACTCCGTTTTCTCCAACTGATTCCAGAATGTCGTAGACATGGTTTATCACTGTGAAAAAGGTTTCATGCTTGAGTAACATTAAAATTTAGGAAAGAAAGTTTAAATCACTTTTCATTCCAAAATTAGAAATGGTATTTGTTGAATTTTGAAAAAAGGAAAGTGATACAATGGAATATCGATATTCAGCAAAACATTACAAAACCACTACGACGAGTTGAAAGAGAAGAGTTGCAATGATCTAGATTTACCCGAGTAATAAATTTCCAAAAATATCAGTAAAGGAAACAAACTTACGAATCCTGTATCAAATGGCATCTAATATGATTCAAGTAGAAATCAATAATGGTACCATTCAGCAGTTCACCTTCTGCCAAGCATAACAAATCGGCAATGCTAATATGCAGCGAGAGAGATGGGAATCTTACACGAATTATTTCGGTACGTATATCTATTTCAAGGATCTCCTAAAAAGCTCATTAAATAAAAAAGCTACATTTGAAGTGAAATACATGGACTGCATCTCTCAATTTTGCTTAGTTCTCAAGAATAAGACACATTAGCCAGTATACGAATTTGATAAGAATTTGATCTCTTTATTGATCTCTTAAGAATTTGATCTCTTTATGAGAAATAAAAATTGATGAAGTAAAAATAACTAAAGGAATTCGACTTCCTTTGCCGATCGAAAAGTACATCTTTGAAAACATATACGACAATTTGCACAATTTTAACAAATTGAAAACCAAAACAAAATGAAGTAACACTATAAAGTACAAACCTTAGCCTCGTTCTCGTCATCTGACAAAGAACTGAGCTCATTGGCGAACCCATTCATTGATTACGTAGCGTAATAACCGCTCCCAATCTTCCAAAATTCTATTTGAAATAATTGAAATATACTTTTTTAATTAAATTCAACAAAAATTCTCAATTGACAATTCCAATTCAACAAAAGGAATACCGACCCTAACAAACAAACAAACAAACAAACACACACACACATATAGAGAGAGAATAAAA